TTAAAATATATCGTTATAGATAAATAATAAAAGACAGTCAATTTGATTTTTAAAATCTATATTGCATTTTATATATAGGAGAAACTAAAAATTCATATTCATTTTATATTCATATATATTTTAAATGTTTAAATAAGAAAGTAAAAGACAAAAGTATAAGGTAAAAGTTTTTATTATGAAAATATAAAATAAAATTGATAGAGAGAGAGAGTGAACTTAAAATTTTCTATGTATTAAAGTGTTATTTTAATATTAGAAATAAACCAGATATATTTGTAATTTTTACCGATTAAAACCAGCTATTAAAAATAATTCAAAATAAATTTCATAATAAAAATATGCTTTTGTTTTTAAAATATTGATACAGTACAACTTGGATGATTCAAACTTTAATTCGAAAACGTCTTTAATTCGAATATTTATCTTTGTCCCTAGAATTTCCTATAAATAGAATATCGTTTCTAATTCGATTTTTTTGGGGTCTTGGGTTTCCTTTTATCCAAGTTCTACTGTTTATTTCAAATTTGATATAATCTGTATTATGCAAATGTTCGAATGTTGATTTTCTTGAAACTGCCTGTAATCAAGAGTAGCTTTCATTTAAAATGTAATTGAAAATACACAAAACCTTTTTCGATATGGAGAAATGAAGTGCTTCATTTGAAAATAATTAATTCTGATATGAAATCTCTGAATATACTTGATTCTAATTTAGGACAGGTTAGCGCATATTATTTTACCTACTGTTCTAAAATAAGAGAAGGGAATAATTATATAAACACACATATTTATTCTTTAAAAAATGACTAATAATTGCATAAAAAAATGCCGTGACCAGGATTCGAACCTGGGTTATTGCGGCCACAACGCAATGTCCTAACCACTAGACGATCACGGCAGGTGACAACTGGACTCTTACAGGGCCACTTGAGGAAAGGAGAAAATCTAAGATCACGTGATGTAGAGTAATAATGGACTAGCTCCTGGAGCTACATTGCACCTCCTTTCTCCTGTATCAATTACACTATAAAAAATAAATATATTGCAATTTATGTACGCAGAGTTAATAAAATGTAGAAACAACCTAAGCACTTGTTCTAATCTACCTCACCAGACCTTAATTTTTCCTCTCCTCAAGTAGTCCTGTAAGGGTCCAGTTGTCACCTGCCGTGATCGTCTAGTGGTTAGGACATTGCGTTGTGGCCGCAATAACCCAGGTTCGAATCCTGGTCACGGCACTTTTTTTTTTGGGGGGGGGGGGGTTGAATAGTAAGTATTTTTAATAAGATAATTTTTTGGTAAATCTAGAGAGATATATCATAATCGCACTATCTTTTATTTATATTGCAGATGCATATAGTGTATTTTATAGTTTGAATATTGCAAATAATAATGAGTTTTTGTTAATTCGATAGAATTATAGAGATTCTCCCTACTAAAATTTGCTTATTTGTTTTTCAATGAGAATAAATTTTAAGTAATTTGGATTTTTCACACATTTGATATTATTTATTTTGATATAATTGCTGTAATGTGAATTTTATTGTAATATTTCTATCTACTGTAGATATTTGATAAATAAGCTGATGAGCAAAACTTATAAAATTGAAGCTTGCATAACTGACCTTTTTCTAATCTCTAAACTTGAAGGGGGGTAGTACGCATAACTCCTCTCATCTCTCGAATATTGTGGAGTTAATATTTACACTACAATAAGGTGAATGCATTTTCTGATTTAAAAAAAAAATGCTCTAATGGCCCCTGATTCTTGCAAATGTTCAACTCCACCACCGAGGGCAAGTAACCAAACGGGGCTCTGGCACATTTGTAAGTGCAAATTAGAACTGCTTTTCACATGTGGTACACTTATAGTAAAAAGCAGTCGCCTACTTCTACCCACCATGATTATCATGGCCTGTACCACGTGTACTAGGGATAAGCAAAAATATGATGAATGCTATTTTTGGATTATTGTTCTATATTGTATTTTGAACTGAGACATTTTATTGCCGAATACTACAATAAAACGTGATACAACAGCGCCCAAGCGGTTGTGTTAATCGTATATAAGGAATGGAAATCCTATTATAAATACACTACAAAAACAATAAGAGAGTTTATGATAATAATAAAAGATTATTAAGGCGAATAAAAAAATTTTTCTAGAACAATATTGATTTAGCAAATATTAATTTGTTCTAAATCAAGACAAAGAAGGGAAATACATTTAATTAATTTATTTTTTCGAATTTTTAAAACGCTTTATCTGATAAATATTGTAATTGAAATTTCAGCATGTGTTATAATGGGGAAGTGTGTATTTCGTATTTATAAATGTTCAATAACATTTGAGCATTATACACTTGTTTTTCTTGTAAGTGATATTTGTTTACCAAAAAATCCATAAAAATATCCCATGTAGCAATATATAGTTTAAATAAGAGAACGTGTAACAAAGTTGTTAGTTTTTAAAAAATATTTTCTTTTGAAACTTTTTTTTTTATTGTGGAAATTTTTTAAATTGAAATATGGCTATTGAATGTTGTAATTTTTACCAAACAAATGTCGCAAATTGATATTAATTTCGATTCAATCATATATTTCATAAAAATATATCGTTATATATATATACTAAAATAGTCACTTTTATTAATATTTATGTATATTGTATTATATATACAGGAAACTGTAAAAATACATATATGTTTATAATCATATATATTTTGAATGTTTAAATAATAAAAAGTGAAGGGCAAAGTTTTTTTACTGCGAAAATAATATAGAATTGAGAGAGAATCCAAATTTTTCTATGTGAAGTTTTATATTAATATTAAAAATAAACCGTATTTTCATCAATTAAAACTAGCAATTTAAAATAATCCTTCATTTCCTTTATATCTATAAAAATGAAATACAAAATCGATGTTTGTTATCGCCTTGCGCAAATCTACAGAATCAATCATTATGAAATTTTGCATGTAGGTAGCTGAAGATTTCGTTTAACATATAGGCTATTCACAAAACTAAAAAGTTTAATGTGCTTTAAAAAAAAGTAAAACCAAAAAGCGTTAGTTCCAGCCTTTTACCGCTTGGCGCAGCACTGGTCGCGACGATAAATGAATTTGATTGGTTAATAATTTTACACGTAGTTTGTTTACACGATGAATGTTAGTTTGTTTACACGATGAATGTTTTTAAAAGGTAAGATTATCCAATCGCCGTGAAACTTTAGGAAGTTATTTACTATACTACTGGGAAGGTTTCTGGTTTGAATTTGATTTGAAATAAATATTCGTTGCAATTTTATTTGTAAATTTTCTACTTTCACTCACAAGCAGCGCCTCTCGCGGTTTCTGGTGAAATTACATTTATAAATTGCAAAAATGCTAAAATGTGCTCCAAGTATAATCAATTTAATATTTAATTTGAGGATTTAGTAATATAATAATCCAATGACGTTGTAAAAAAAACTTGGCATTTCAATATTAATAAATATTTAAAATTTAATAAATTTTTCAAAAAGTAGGTGTTTCAAAAATATATTTAAACTCATATAACAATTAATATATACGTTTATAAATCTACTAGACGGGTGCCCCGGGCTTCGCCCCGGGATTGACCTGTGTGCATATCCACCCGAGTGATATATATTTAGATAAGATTTTTTAAATAATTGTTTGTTATTAGCATTATCTATTTGTTACATCAGCATAATTTAATCTAATCTTTGATAGAGGGCGCTGTTCGTAAACTAAGTAGAATAATTTGAATATATAGTTTTAATAATTGATTTATATATTTTTAAAAATAGCCTATCGTCTTCCCCGTATTTTTTTTTTTTACCTATGTATGGAAATTTTGGTTTGAATTAGTGAACTACTGCGAATTTGTATACCGGACATACAAACACACAAACAAACAAACATACAAACATTCATTTTTATATTTATAGATATACACCAATACCTCGCTTTGCGTCGTTTCGTTTTGCGTTTTTTTCGAAGTTGCGTCGCTGCTTAATTTTTACTGATTTTCACTGTGCGTCATTAGATTTTCGAAGTTGCGTTGTTTTGGATTCGAGTATTTAATTTAATTTTTTTTTTCCCTAAAATATGGCAACCCCTTTTTTTTATTGCGCCATGCCATCGAAATTTGGGGATTCCCTTTCTAACTAAAAATCAACGCAAATTTAATGCAATTTTATTTTCACTTTGTTTTGCTTATTTTAGAGTTCAGTTTAATTACGTAGTGTGAGGTAATGTAGTGCGTTGTGCTTTTTTAAAAAGAGAATAATAAATTTACATATATGAAGTTTTATATGGTGTTTTTGGTTACAAAAAAGATACAAATATTTATATAAGATAAAAATATTTCCCAAATTTATTTATTGGCAGAGTTATATTCTTTTTTACATAAATTTGTAATTTCTTTTACCCAAATATGAAAGAAAAGGGCGCTGCTGGTAGAATTGCCAAAAATACTAAAAAACCTATCAGCTTGGAGACAAAATTAGATATTCTGCGAATATCAATTGTTACAAGGAAATTTATAAACAATACTTAAAATTATACCGCATAAGTTTCTTTTCTATGAAAAAACAATATTTATTTTAAAGAGAAATATTTACTATTTCTAACTTTTTTGAATGAAGTATGAGAGGGTGAAAATATGAAGAGTAATGGCGAACGGAAAAATAAAAGTGTCCAGGGGCGGGAATCGAACCCACAACCTTCTGCTTACCGGGCAGGTGCCATGTCCACTAGGCTACCCTGGACGTTATTTCTCCGTTCGTAAATAATACTTAAAGTAACTTATAATACATTATAAAGGACTGCGGCGTGTGATTATAAACAATACTTAAAATTATACCGCATAAGTTTCTTTTCTATGAAAAAACCAATATTTATTTTAAAGATAAATATTTACTTTTTCTAACTTTTTTGAATGAAGTATGAGAGGGTGAAAATATGAAGAGTAATGGCGAACGGAAAAATAAAAGTGTCCAGGGGCGGGAATCGAACCCACAACCTTCTGCTTACCATGCAGGTGCCATGTCCACTAGGCTACCCTGGACGTTATTTCTCCGTTCGTAAATAATACTTAAAGTAACTTATAATACATTATAAAGGATTGCGGCGTGTGATTATAAACAATACTTAAAATTATACCGCATAAGTTTATTTTCTATTTCCATCACCCATGGTTGTTGCGTGACAGTCTTTTTTGGGTATTGGGATAAATAAAGCAAAAATGCAAAAAAATATTACGTAAGCATTTTTTCATAAACCTTATTTTTTACACTGGTTTATCAAAAATTATTTTTCTTTGTCCCAAAAGAAACAGCATCTTGTCTAAATTTAATCATTGTGCTGATTCCAAATATGCCATTAGTTTTTTTTTTTATCACGCAAGATTTTTGAGATACACCTACTTGAAATTTGGAAATGTTTTTAATATAGGCCTATATGAACGAAATATATTTATTTTATTAAAAAGTAGTGACAGTGGATTTTCTTCTATACTTTGCTTGTGGTACATTTCTCATGAGTGTCCAGCAGTAGTCAGCAAGCATACCGGGACTCCATTTACCTTGGTACCGCTTCTCCATGCTTGATATATCTTGATGAAACCTCTCACCATGCTCATCGCTAACTGCACCAAGATTGTCTGGAAAGAAATCTAGATGTGAATGCAGGAAATGGATCTTGAGAGATATGTTACATCCCAGTATCTTGTAGGAAAGCATATTTTCCAACCGTATCTTTCATATTCTATCATTTAAAAAAAAAGCAGTTTCATGTTTTCGTAAGTCTCTTTCATGTTGGATGCATGTGCTATTGGCACTGATGGGAACTTATTTCCGTTGTGAAGGAGAACAGCTTTCAAACAAATTTTTGAAAATTCAACGAATAAACGCCACTCTTCTGTATCATAGTCATGACCAAGCGCTTCCATTAAACTAACAATATCATTGAAATATACTAAATCATTCTCTTGTGAAAAGAAGTCTTGAAATTCATCTTGACGCTTTGGAAAAAAGCATACTTTTGTGCCTTTATGCAGCAGATTCTAGCCTTTTAACCTAGAGCCTAAAAGTTCACTCTGTTTTTTTGGATAAATATAAATCACGTACGAGGTCGTTCAAATCTCCTTGGGTCAACAAATGAGGTTCAGATGAAGCACCAGCTTCAAAATTTGTGTCATCCGACTGTTGCTCTCGTCTATCTGAATCATCGTCACTAAATATTACATTTTCAGGAGGCTGTGGCACAGGTAAAATGTCACTATGAGGAACCGGTCGCATAGCAGAAGGAAAATCTGGATATTAAACTGTATGTCTTGATTATAAGTTAATTCCCCATAAATTTAAAAGAAAATATCAGGAATGCAATGCCTCGGCATATTGACACAGTCTAGTGCACACGAATTATAAAAGCAAATCGATAGAGAAGAATAAACTGATCACTTCAAATTTACTTGTCACTTCTGATGCAAATATATTAAACAAATCGTTAGTTTAAATTTAAATATATATATTAAAACTGTTATTCAGCAAATAGCATTCCAGAGCTTGTCGTTATTTTTGAGTAGAGAGAAAAACAGATTGCATTTGAAAATAAACATATTTAATTTAAAATTCAATAATTTGTTATTTAAATTAATATATATGATTCTTAAAGAGAAAAAATTAATTAATAACAAATAAAATAAAGCTTTTGGCTCCACATATCAACTCTTCTTGTCAAAAATAAAGCGCTAGCTAATGTAATGATGTTTACTTAAAAAATGCTTACGTAACATTTTCTGCATTATTACTGTATATACCAATTTATAGAAAAAATGGTTATCCTGCAAGAACTATGGGTGATGGAAAACTTCTGATTTCATTTTTGAATTCAGCATGAAAAGTTACATTAGAATCAACATCAGGTTTTCTCCGGCAAAAAAAAAAAAAAAAAAATTGTAGACCTGAGTTATTTTTATTTTTGTGGTCTTCCCTTTATTTAGTTATTTTACTCATTGTTTTATACATTAATTTTCAGCATTTATGCATTTTACAGTCTAATATGTTGTTAATTATAGTGTATTTAAACAAAAATCAACTGTTGAAATTTGAATTTGTCGAATTACAGTTTTTTTTATATTGTCACGAAATTGGTTTATGTAAATCAAATGTAATCAAAGGTGAATCAAATGTCTCTATTAGTAAATATGTAAATAATTTTATGTTTAATGTTATATAAGGAAGGTATGTAAATTTTGTAACTGATTTTCTATTTCTTGTTTCTAGTTTTGTTGTGAGGAAAACATCACTCACAAATTTTATCAATCTATATATTAATAAAATGGAAATTTCATAAGTGGACATCACTAAAAACTTTCGGTACAATGCATCAATTTCAACCAAATTTTCAACATTTATGTAAAACGAGATGGAGCAGGTTTTGCTTAACATCAAAATATATTTCCTAACATTAACATGCGTAACTTCGCTGTTATCGATTAAATACAAAAAAAAATCAACAGAGTTAATTTTATTTATATATAAATACAAAATTAAATTTCAACAGAGTTATTTTTTTACATACTAGCTAATAATCTCAATCTAAAAAATATTCAATACAAGCAATTTTAAGATAATTATCATGTTTCTAATTTCGCCTAACAAATATACAAATTTATAGTGACCAACATATGCAAATTTTATCTTTGTTTTTATTTAACTTGATATCGTAAACATATACATCCATTGTAAGCATTTTTCTGTTCACCTTCCGTGGTTTCTTTTTTCTCTGATAGTTTTAGGTGTAGTATATTTTCTTATTACTAGACTACAAACATTCCCTCGAGAAAAACCTGGTCGAAGCCGGGTACATCCGCTAGTTGATTAATAAAATTCTCATTTAAACTGTGACAATTGGTGGAGACGCCGGGTAAAGCTTTGAAATAATAAAAACGTCTGAATTAAATTTGAGGCGAAGTCTTCGACTGAAGGGATTATCTCCTGATTTAGGATTGCATAACACAAAACCAATCATGATAAAGAATGAATCTGGAGAAACCTTATTCCAAATATCCTCAACTTACCTTTCCTTGCAAAAGCCAAGCTCTCCTTCCACATTTGCTGGAGATGGAAGTCAAGACGCCCAAAAGTGGCTGAAGGAATATAAAAGAGTTGCCAAATTCAATAGATGGGATGACACTATGTGTCTGGAAAATGCTGTGTTTTTTCTTGAGGGAACAGTTCGAAAATGGTTTGAAAATAATGAAGAAATACTAACATCCTGGGATGAATTTCAAAGGGCTCTAGGTGAAGAATTTGACCAACAAGAAGAGGTAATTAAAGAAGCCGAATCTCTACTGAAGAATAGAGCTCAGAAAGTGAAGGAATCTTCGGAGGCCTACACCCAGGATGTACTGTACTTTTGTCAAGTAGTTAACCCCCGGATGCATGATGAAACCAAATTGGGACATCTGATGAAGGGAATCTGATTGCTCCTTATTTTATTGAGGACTGTATTTTTGTTCCTTTATAAGGCTCCACTCTGCTGCTGCCTACCTCGTGTATTCCTATCAAGCCAACACACCAACACTATGAGAAACACATACTTTATTTAAACAACAAAACTATTTATACCCCTTGGCCCGTGGTCAAAAGAATTAAAACATAATAACTTATTTTAGAAACAAAATTATGCAAAATAGGCAGTATTAACAATTGATCTAGACACAGAATAAACAGATTAATAATAAATAAATATTCACAGATATATACATTTAATTCTCAACATTCTCCCCCGGTTGATAAACTCCATCAAATTCTGAAGGCGCCACCGGCAGCATCACCAGCTTGACTAGGGGTCTACGGAGCACTCCCAGCGACGTCTCTACTGTAGCAACCCGTACCAGGCCATCCTTCCCAGGATGAACCTCCATTATTCGGCCTTTCAACCATTTAGCGGGAGGCAGTCTGTCTTCTTTAATTAGTACTAAGGTATTGATCTTAATATTGGGAGAACTGGTCTTCCATTTATGGCGTTGTTGTAGGTTGTGCAAATAATCTCTTGAACATCTTCTCCACAGATGTTGCAATAATTTTTGCACCAGCTGCCATCTCGTCAGGAGATGGTTCTTTACTTCTTCTAAACTTTTTCTGGTACACATGCAGATGAGTCAGTCATTAAAAAATGAGCAAGAGTCAATACTTCCTGATCGTTTGGATCGTTACTCATTGCACACAGAGGTCTGGAATTTAGACAAGATTCAATTTGAACTAGGAGAGTCCAGAATTCCTCATAGGCCAATACTTTGTTGCCAATTATTCGCCTCATGTGATACTTCAACGCCTTGACTCCGGCCTCCCACAGACCTCCGAAATGAGGAGCTCCTGGAGGATTGAACTTCCATTCTGTTCCCTGATTTGCCAGCACGGCAGCCAAATCGGTTAGTTGTTCCTTTGTCATGTAAAAACTTTAACGCAACTATCGTGCAGCTCCCACAAAATTCGTTCCTCTATCACTGTAGAGTTGATGGCAGTGTTCTCTTCGCGCGACAAATCTCTTAAATGCCGCCAAGAACGTAGGAGTGGAAGCGTCTGTCACCAACTCCATGTGTATGGCTCGGGTCACGAGACACACAAACAGACAGATATATCCCTTTTCTGTCCTTCGAACTCTACCTCTGGATAACCGAATAGTTACTGGACCCGCATAATCCACTCCGCATATCGTAAAGGGTTTGCCCGGTGTTAGTCTTTCCTTTGGCAAATCACCCATTATCTGGTTTTGGGTGATACGATTATATCGACAACATGTATTGCATTCGCGAATACATTTTTTCAAATGATTTTTTACTCTCGGCATCCAATATTTCTGCCGTAAGGTGGACAGTATCAGGTGTATACCTCCGTGCAAGGTCCGTGCATGCACCTCCTGAATAATCATCTGGGCTATCTTCCCTTTTGACAGCATTAAGGCAGGATGTTTTTGCTCAGATGTCAGAGTTGGAGCCCATTTTAGTCTACCCCCGAATCGGATGACTCCAAACATATCCAGAAATGGATTCAATGCATA